TGTAAATTGTCAGTAATTGTCATTTAAGCAACCGTAGCGCAGTGGTAGCGCACATGTCTAAGAAACTTAAGATCCGTGGTTCAAACCCCACCTCTGGGGACATCGGTAGGGAAGGAGGCGTGAACTTCCTATTAGATGCTCTTCCGCGGTGCTCTGTCATAAGACTGTAAGGACTTCTTGGGGTAAACCAACTTAAAAAAAAAAATCCTAAATCAACTTAAAAAAAAAGTAATAAGCGCCCCTAATAAAACATAAGAAATTTTGACTAAAAGACTAGCATTTTGTATGCCCTCTATGCGCATCGAGCATGGCCTGTGCACGTCTTGGCATAGACTGTACCAGCTTTTGGATGGTGTCAATAGAGATTGCTAGCCATGCAGCTTGCAAACGTTGCCACAAATCATCCAGATTGCTGGGTTTGGTTTTCTGCACCTTTCTGAAGAGCTCCTCCCACAAATTTTAAATGGAGTTCAGGTCAGAACTTTGTGGAGACCATTCAATATTGGTACAAGCACGTTTGAGATATTCCATTACTTTCTTAGCTTTGTGGCAAGGAGCTTTTTCCTGTTGAAAGAAAAATGGTTTGTTTTAACCAAATTGTTTCTTTGCTGATGGTTTTATTTGTTTTTTTTATATTTTTAAATATTTATCCAGGTTTACCGTGCCTGTACAACGATATAAATGACCTACACCTGATCCTGACATGCAACCCCATACCATAAGAGAGCCTCCTCCATGCTTTACTGTGGGAGCTACACACAGAGAAAGAAATTGTTTACCAGCTCTTCTCATCACATAAGCTCTTTTAGCTCCACAGAAAACAGTAAAGGTACTTTCATCATTCCATAACACTTTATTTCATTGTGCGACAGTCCAGGTTTTGTGCATTTTCGCGAATGCTCTTCTTTTTGCGATGTTATCAGGTCGCAATAAAGGGTTTTTTGCAGCAATTCTTCCATTCAAACCAGCTTGCTGAAGACGTTTTCTATTCGTCCTTGCTGCCAGATGAACTTCATGGTTTTTCCCCATGTAGCTTACAAGATCTGAAGCCGTAGCGAAACGATTGGACAAACTCGCCCGAACCAAAAGCCGATCCTGCTTTGCGGTAGTTTTACGAGGTCGTCCAACACGCTCTAAGTCTGCCACTGCACCGGAGTCTTTCTCTTTTCTGGCTGTTTTGGTAACTGTTGACAGTCCAATTTTTATTTGCTCAGCAATATCTCTGTAAGAAATGCTTTGTTTAATCATAACAATGATTTTCAGTCGTTGCTCAGTTGATAGCTTCTGACACATGGCATACACAATGTTCTGCAAATTTGTAATACAAAAATAATAAAATGTTTGTTTAATAAAAGAAAACATGATTTTAATCATTATTTAACAACAACAAATGTTTAAAAACACAATAAAACTTAATTATAGCTAACTTAAATAATCTTAATTATAGCTAATTAAGATTAATTAATCCTAATTAGCATGGCTAATTAGGATTAATTAATTATAATTGTAATTAAATCTAATTAATTTATTCTCAATATTAGCTCCACGTTTCGGTACGATATGTAGTTGAGTGATAATACATTAATTTCAAGTAAATATCAACTAAAACAATGCTAGAAAAATCTTTAACTTACCAAACTGATATTACAATTTCTGATCAAATCAACACAGAACAGTAATTAACAAAAATTACAGTAATTATAATAACAAAAATAATGATATTTGGTTGCAAATAACGCGCCACATACAGTATCGGACAAAATATTTTCAACCAACATTGAACAATGCCACAAAAAGTGTTCCTAATTTTACATGTCTTAAAAACGAAACAAACTATACTACCACAGCAAACAGTTCAGGAGTCTGGAGTCATAGCATGCCATAACATGAGCAATCAGCTGACAGGTGACAGCACACAGGCAGAATTTTGTTGACAAGTGCCATTTTGCAAAACGGCGGACAAAATAAGTGCAACTTTTTTGGTTTGTTTCATTTTCTTAAGTCTGGTCCGTGTCAACGTCACGGAAGTTTTTTAATAATTAAAGGAAGTATCGAGAAGTTTCCAGAAGATTCCAGAAGCATGCAGAAGCTTCCAGAAGTTTCCAGAAGAAGCATCCTGACGCATCCAGAAGCATCGAAAAGAAGCATCTAGAATCTTCCAGAACAGGTTCACACAGGTTCATTTTACTATATAAGAGACATGTAAATCGACATGTAATTCAGTCAGTATATGGAAGTCAATCGGTCAGTATTATCAAGACAGTTTATCGAAGTGAGTTTTATCAAAGTGTTTTATTAAAGAACATCAATACAAGAAGTGAAATACAACAAGTGTTTCATTACATCAATACAGTGCACATCCAATCAAAACGTTGTGTTCCACAGAGCATTATTGTATCATCACAAGGTAAATGTAACACGGTAAGCTTTGAGAAGCGTGATTATTTTTTTATTTTGTTTTAATGACTTCAAGTGCAAAAACGGCTTCCGATAGTCTTGGATTAGAACTAAGAAAGAAAATTGTTAGTGATTACATAAGTGGAATTTCACAAAAAAGTATTTATGATAAATATTGCGTGAAAAAATGAACCGTATCAAGACTATGTTCAAATTATCATTCAACGGGGAAGTTGGCAGCAGATAACAAAGGTGGAAGACCGCGTTCCACTACTTCTAGAGAGGATTCTATGATCGTCAGATCCGTCAAAAAGGATTCCTGGATATTATCAGTCGAGAAACAAAAGCAATTAGAGCTGCCTGTATCGGACCGAACAATCAGACGACGCGCTGTTGAAGCCGGATTGTTTTCTCGACGCCCTGCAAAGAAACCGCTAATTTCACTAAAGAACCAGAAGCAAAGAATCCTGTTTGCTACATCTCATATTGACTGGAATGTGCAGAAATGGCGAACTGTCCTATTCAGTGATGAATCAAAATTTAACATCAACGGGAGCGATGGCATTTGCCGTGTACGTCGACCAGCCGGAAAACGCCTCGATTTACGTTACTGTCATAAGACCGTGAAGCATGGTGAAGGCAATTTAATGGCGAGGGGGTGTATTTCTGCTAACGGTCCAATACATCAAAACAATGGAGTAATGGACCGTTTCATGTATAAAAATATCCTGAAAGATGTTATGTTACCTCATGCTGAATGGAATATGCTAATAAAATGGGTTTTTCAGCAAGACAACAATCCGAAACAAACTGCAAAAGTAGTCAAGCAGTGGTTTCAAGACAACCACCTATCGGTGATGGATTGGCCGCCCCAATCTCTGGATCTCAACCCTATCGAGATCCTGTGGGAGATTCAACCGCAGAATAAATCGTGAAGGTGTTCGTAATAAGGATCAACTGTTTGAACAAATCCAAAAGGCCTGGGCAGCGATTCCACAAAGTTTCATTGATCACCTTATTGAATCTATGCCTCGAAGATGCAAGGCTGTGATCGACAACAAAGGATTCGCCACAAAATATTGATAGCGAAATACAGCATTTTGTGGAGTTGCACTTGTTTTGTCCAGAAGGAAATCAACTTTTTTTAATACTTTTGATTAATTTATTAATTTTCGTGTACAAGTAATGAACTTTGCGATGAATAAAACTTGAAGAGCGTTGTCTCTGAACGGTTACATAACTATTTCTCTAAATTGAAAAAATGAAGCACCTTTATATAAAGAAACTAAATTAGCATTATTTGGTTGCACTTGTTTTATCCGATACTGTAGGTAACTAGATATTTAGTAAGGTTTCCGAATAAAAATCGCTACAAAAATTAATTATTGCCTAAGTACACTAATAGAGAGATTAAAATATGTGTGTGGTCATGACTTTGTGCCACTACTGTACTTAAAAAATATGGTTATATGTTCTACAGTATTAGAAAAAGGGAAACATTTTACAGTATTAGAAAAAAGGAAATATTTTACAGTGTTAGAAAAAGGGAAAGAAAAAAAAAAACGAGCTGTTTTGAATTCTTTTTGAACAGTATTTGTCTTATATCAACCTACTGGAAAAATTGGTTTTAAAAATCTGAAGGAAAAATAACCTCAACCAAAAGCTTTGGAGAGAAGTGGAACCACGTCATTTAAAAAGTGCTCATTTAAATAGTTTTAATTGAAAAGTCTAATCCGTTATCGGAACAGACTTCTTAAGACACTTTACTTCTATGATCATTTATATTCATGACAGAGCAAGCCAAGAACTAAAGCACAAATTCTTAGAGATCAGCTATCTAAACTCGGCCTAAAAATGAAAAAATGGTTTTAATAAAAAAAAATACTTAAAAAACAAAGTTTATTTAATAAATAATGCAGTAAACCAGCTTCACAATTAGCCAGCGTTAGCGATAATCTTAAATAGTGATTTAACTAAGGGATGTACCGGAAATCCGGCCGGATTTTTTTTCTTTTAGATGACTTTGCTTCTGGCTGTAATCAAACTTTTTTTTTATGATATGTGGCACAGGCTGTGTAAATAAATCAACAAATCATTATTCTACAGAGCAATGAAGAACTCTAGGTAAACCTAGGTAAAAAATACAAATGCAAGTTTATTTTCAGAAATAGTAGTACTGCAAATACATTTGCAAAAATACATTTTGTATTTTTTACCTCGATTTACCTATAGTTCTTTATTGCTCTGTAGGATAATGATTTTTTGATTTATTTAAACAACCTGTCAAAAGTTAGAATAAAAAAAAATTAAAAAAAAAAAAATTAATTTCAAGCGAATTGATTTAAGAGACAAAAATTCCGGTACATCCCTACTTTTAACTCAATCGGTTATTCTTTTAGGTTAAGTTATTCTTGTCATTAAAAACGTCATACTTTCGTCTATTAGATAAGATTATTTTTTTTTAAAAAAACAAAAACATTTTTATTACATTAAATATTTGACAAAAATTCTATAAAAAAATTCAAAAAAGGAAATTGAAGCTGCAGATTACATTCAAATAAATTTATGTTTCACCCTATTTCACTCTATACAAAATAAATAAATTTAAAGACCTAAAAGATGCATTTGGGATAATATAAGATAAATAGTGACACGATAGACAAACTTTTTATAGCAACCTAGTTTAAGTCAATATATTCGGCTGCTCTTTTGTACGACGGATTGTATAAAACAAACGAGACTAACATGCCAAATACGATAAGACTAACTGTTAATACATTGGCGACCAATCCTGCGCCTTTCAACTCTTTCCATTGCGATGCGTACCTTAAAAAAAATATAACATCCTAATAAGATAATTGAACAAAATTTTATGTTTAAATTTTGTTCAATTAAATTTGAAATGTTTTTAATTTAAAGTCTATTTTAAACTAAGTTTAAAGTTTAAAAAAAAAAGAGAAACCAATACAATGTTTAACGCTTACATTAGGGTGGTTCATAGAAAAAAAAAGTTGAAACTCCAGTGATTTTATGTGAAGCGGTATAGCACAAAAGTATGAAATCGAAAAAAATGAAATCAAACAATATCTAGACCTTCCAACTTAATTGCAAAAGATCGGAGTAAAGTAAAATGTAGAAATGAACACCGTACAAGTAAAGTAAAATGTAGAAATGAACACCGGAGAAAATTGAACACTTATGAAAATGTTAATAATTTTGACTAAATTTGGTTTGAAACAAAATTATTTTAGTTCTATAATATAGAGAATTTTGTGCTCTATCTAATGACCTAAAAAAAAAAAAAAATTTAATCAAAATTTTTTTGTAGCAAACTCAAAAGTTCGGGCGGACTTTAAAAAGGCGCACCGCAAACTCGGTAAACAACGAAAATTTTCGTTAGGAAAATTAAAAGACGATTTTCATTGGCTAATAAATTAAATTAGACTTAAGGCCGTTTTCCACAAGACGAAATATTCGCGCGAAGCGAATTTTTTCGTCGATAAGCATGCGCAGATAAAACATTTCTGGCCATAATTGGCAATAAATGCCAGAAATGTTTTATCTGCGCATGCTTATCGACGAAAAAAATTCGCTTGTGGAAAACGGCCTTAAAGGCCGTTTTCCACAGACGAAATATTCGCGCGAAGTGAATTTTTTTCGTCGATAAGCATGCGCATATATCGACGAAAAAAATTCGCTTGTGGAAAACGGCCTTAAAGGCCGTTTTCCACAGACGAAATATTCGCGCGAAGCGAATTTTTTTCGTCGATAAGCATGCGCAGATAAAACATTTCTCGCAATAATTAGCAATAATTGCTAGAAATGTTTTATCTGCGCATGCTTATCGACGAAAAAATTCGCTTCGCGCGAATATTTCGTCTTGTGGAAAACGGCCTTTAAGCACGTTTTCAACTTTTCAAGTTCACTTCAGTACACGACAACTTCAAGCAAGACTACTTCTTTGGCAGAATATATTGACAACATTAAAAAAAAAAAGTTTTCTCCATCAAAACAGACTAACCCATGTTCACAAATCTTGTATCTGTGGTCAGCAAATGACTATTCAAAGATTTGAGCTGTGTCTAGTAAGTAAATATCATATTTAATCATATCATGTTTCATGGTATTATGTCATAAATATTTTATTTAATCGTATCATAATAACTCAAATGACATTTAATACAAGTCTGATCAGATTAGTATTTAAAAAGTAAACAAGCTAAAGTTTTATTTAATTTATTATTTTCTTTTATAAGGATTAAATTACTTCATAGAATCCAATCCTAATAAATTGGATTTTGTTTAAACTTTTTCTGATGCTTTTTTCTTTAGGATAAACACATCTGGTGATGCAGCAGCTGTAAGAAGATGAAGACTATACGAAGTGGTTTTTTTGAATGTTCAACATCTTTAAGTGTAAGTGATATACTTCAACTTATGTTGTTATGGGTTTCAGAGGTCCCTGTTACTGCTGCTGCTGCTGAATTAGTAGGGATAAACCAACCAACTTCAGTTCAGTGGTATCAGTATTTCAGAGATATCTGCTCATTCAAAGTTTTAGATGTTGCAGCTGTAAACCAGCTAGGAGGTCCAGGACACATAATTGAAATTGATGATCTTTGTTTTTCAAACGCAAGTATAATGTGGGTCACAACGTTGAAAAGCATTGGATTTTTGGGGCTTATGATACAACAACTTAAAAAAGGGTATTTGACTAGGGTAGAGGATCGAACTGCAAATACATTAGTACCTTTGATTCAAACTTGGATTGCTCCTGGTTCAACTATACAATCAGATGAATGGGCTTCGTACAATAATTTAAGCAACTTAGGGTATATTCATTCAACTGTTAACCATACCACAAACTTTGTTGACCCTGAAATAGGGACAACAACAAACCACATTGAGTCCTTTTGGTGTAGGATGAAGCGTAAACTAAAGTTTATTTTTGGTTCTCAAGGTGATATGAAATTGTCTAGGTTGGATGAGGCAGTATATAAGGGAATAATATGAGTTTAAAAATAAAGATTTATGGCAAAATTTCAATATGTTCCTGGGTCATATTCACGATAAGTATCCTCTTTAAATTACACATTTATTAATATTTTAATTCTATTTTAATTTATGATTTTATTTTATGAATTTTTGGAGCAAATTTTCTCAAATGATCACATACTGTGTTACACTGATGTCGAGAAGATACACATACTGATGATGAGAAGATACACATACTGATGATGAGAAGAACATACATGGAGGAAAAGCTTAAAACGACGAGATTAAGAAAAAAAGACATTTGAAGATTTGAAGATTGAAAGATAGTGAAGATTTCGAATAAAAAAAAGCTTGTGAAAGATAAGTAAACTGAAGAATATCAAAACATTTATTTTATATTTTATAGCAATAATATATTGTAATTGTTTATTTGAGATTTAAAACTGTTAGCACCTATACATAACTTTTTTTAATGTTTTTTTGTAAATTTTTAACTTATTACAAAATATTTCTCAAGTAAGCCTTTGTGAAATAGTAAAACCTTTATTAAAATAATAAAGCCTTGAAAAAAACCTTATTAAATTAATAAAACTTCTACTAGTATAGGTGCAAATGTCTTAACTTTATAATTGTAAATAATTATATTTGATTTGTAAATATTTAAATTAGAGTTTCAAATTTTAAAAATGGTTTTAAAAAGTTTGTTTTTTTTTCTTTTGAGGAAGCCATTTTGGCACTTGTTGTAACCGCGCCGTTTTACCATTCTGTAAAATATTCAGTATATTTACCGAGAATTTTCGTAACGAAAGCTTTCGTTGTTTACTGAGTTTAAGGTGCGCCGTTTTAAAGTCCGCCAAAGTTTGAACATGAATATTAATTTTTTTTAATTTTATTATTATACTGTCGTAAAAATCTCGGAAAAAAAAGGAAATAACATTAAAAAGTACAAAGATGTATTGGCAGTAAAAGTTACGTTGATCATGAATCTTTTTTCAGAAATAAAATTGTTATTTTCTAAAAACAGCTATAACTGAATCACTGAAAAAGTCATATTTTTGGGTAAAACTGAACAGTAATATTTTTCAAACTTATATTTTAAAAAGCTAACAATTTCCTGTACAAATCTTTGCTATACTTTTCACAACTTCCGTCACATGAAATCACTGGAATTTCAACTTTCTTTTTTTTATGAATCACCCTAGGTTATATTTTAATTAATTCTGTAATTGTAATATTTAGCTCATCTAATGGGCAATTTATAATAGAATAATAATATAAAACTTAAGTATCAATATATATATATATATATATATATATATATATATATATATATATATATATATATATATATATATATATATATATATATATATATATATATGTATGTAAACTTGAATAAGTTAAATAAAGTTTAACTTACGAACTAAATAGCATTTTTTCAGTGAGACCAGTAACGCATGCTGCAATAGCCAAAGCAAAGATGATTATTCCAAAATAAACATGTATTTTCAAATATATTCGGCGATAATCATCAGAAAATTTTGGATAGAGAAAGCCAACAAAACCGAACAAAAGCTAAAATTATGTCAATTGAATTAATTCATTTCAAAAACATATCTTTAATGTAATATGAAAAACCTTGACAACAAATTAGATAAAAAAATTTTAAAATATTAAATATGACTAAAAAAAGTCCAGAGACCCTAGTCCAATATAATTAACTTTATTTTAACATATTTTTATATTTCATTTTATATAAACACTGGTTCTTTGCTCATTTACAAAAAAAAAAGAAAAAAAAAAAAAATTATTGAGAAAACATTAAAAAATCTCAATGAGAAAACATTTAATGAGTTACTTTCTTACAGTACTCCGCCCCCCCCTCCTCACTGCTAGGCCTCAAGCAAACAAACAAAAATTGCTGCATTAGATTTACCATATATTAAAAAACAATCAAACTAGACATCAATTAAAATAAAAAATCTATTACAATAAAACATTTTACGTAATTTACTTTTATTTCTTAAAAACTGTTATAAAAAGTTGACAAGTAACATTCATTTTTTTAATAAAGCACAAAAAATTCAATGAGTATTAGAACAAAAATATAAACATTTTACCTGACATGCAAATAAGCCTACTGTGCCAATTCCAATCCAACTATGCAAGCTATACATGTTGGGTATTTTCATTGCATTGTGAAAATCAAAAACAGCAATTAAACCTATCACAGCAAATATAAAGACACCCAGTTGAATCAAACCATGAAGTATTTTTATCTTTAACTTGTTCTGATTTCGAAAAACTCTGTATGCAATGGCAGCTTTAAAAAATTAAAAAACATCAAATTATTTTGTTTTTGCAAGATTATGTTAACTTATGCTCATACTTTTTTTATAAAATTTTTATTTTTTTATACCTTATTATTATCTAACTATTAATAAAGTCTTAGTGCTATTTCAATTTAATAAAGTTTCAAAAATCATTTATTTTATTTCCAATACTTTTTATTCAGTCTCAAACAATACTGAGACAGAGATGGCTTCAGTCTCAAACAATACTGAGAAAGGTCTAGATAAGTCTTTTTCAATTTATAATATCAATCAATCTAAAAACTTAATAATAATGAAAAACTCTTGTTAAAAAGCAATTTTAAAACTAAAAAAAATCATCTTTTTATAAATTTGCTACACAAAATCTACTAAAAAAAAAATCTAATTTAACCCTTAATGACCCCAGGTATCAGATCTGATACACACATTTTAAACCACAGTATTTTTTAGACAAATAACTATTTTTATCTGAAAACACCCGTTGTTGCTAATATAAGAAACTAGTTTTCGGTTCCGTATAAACACTTCTTTTCATCTGGGTCAATTTTCATATAATAAACATTTTAAAATAGCACATGTTAAAAGTGTTTTACGTGGTGTTCACTAAGTGTTGTTTCTGTATTTATTTTGCGTTGGTTATATCAATTTTAATGATTTTTTTTTCTTTAATTTTTATATTAAAGGTAAAAGAAAACTTTATTAACTGTTTCATGTTTTTTTTTTTATCAAATATCCATAAATATTGATTACTGAATTTGTATGTATCAAATTTGATACAACAGGTTTTTCCAGTATAAAGCCTTGTGAAAAGTTCTTTGTTTATGTATATTTTTAATTTTTTTTTAATGTTTTTCTAGATGAATAGGAATAAAAAAAAAACTGTATCGGATGTTTTAAGCTATGTATTTGATGGAGAGAGTGATTTTAATGACACAGATGATAGTGATAACGAGTTTTATAATGAAAATGATACAGCCAACACTGCTATCGAAGAAGATAGTGACAATGAACCTTTAGCAAACATAGCATCAAGACTATCTAAGAATCTTAAAGAGACAACTAATAACCCCAATAAGAATAAACCAAGTACTTACAAATGGAAAAGTAAGAACTTTGAACCCCTTGATGATGTAACTTTAAAGGAGCCTGAAATGAAACCAACACCAAATGTGGAAACAACACCCTTTGAATATTTCAAATTGTTTGTAAGTGATAATATGTTGAATAGCATCACAAATGAAAGTAATACTTATATTCTGCAATTAAAAAGTTCAGAGAAAAATATCTCAAAAAAGGATATTGAGAAGTTTATAGGTGCTTATCTCAGAATGGGTTTGGTAAAGCTTCCAAGTCAAAGATCATATTGGGAGACATTTATGACCTACAACAGAATTTCTTCTATTATGGGTAGAAATAAATTTGAAACTATACTTCGAAATATTCATTTTGTAAACAACTTGGAAATATCTAAGGAAGAAAAAGCAGATGACCGTGTATGGAAGTTACGAACATGGATAACAGAGCTACGGAATAACTTTCAAAAAGTTTCACCGGAAGAGTTCCATGCTGTTGATGAGATTATGGTTCCTTTTAAAGGAAAGTCTCAATTGTGTAAGTACTTGCCAAAAAAGCCCCATAAGTGGGGATTCAAGCTTTGGGGTCAAAGTGGCATTTCAGGCTTTTTGTATGACTTAGATATTTATCAAGGGAAGTCAAAAAACAATTCGGATACAAGTTTAGGTGTCAGTGCAGATGTTGTAATTTATATGACTTCTTCACTTCCTGATAAACACAATTTTAAAGTCTTTGCTGACAACTACTTCACAAGCTTGCCTCTTTTGTTGAATTGAGGAAACGTAACATCTATTATGTAGAAACAATTAGAGATAAACGAATGAAGAAATGCCCATTATTGCTTGAAAAGGATTTGAAAAAGCAAGGCAGAGGAGCCTATGATTTTCAAATTGAGCAAGAATCAAATGTGGTTGCAGTTCGCTGGTATGATAACAAACCAGTTAATTTAGTTTCTTCATATGTAAGCATTGAACCACTTCACACTGTTCGGAGATATGATCGTTCGCTAAAAAAAAAGATTGATGTAAAACAGCCCAACATTGTTCATGTATATAACCAATACATGGGAGGCATAGATAAGTTGGATATGATGTGTGCGTTTTACAAGCCAAGATTAAGAACACGAAGATGGTACATTTATATTTGGTTTCATACGATTCAAATTGCTGTTGTTAATGCATGATTTTTGTACCGACGCGATTTAAAGATTTGTAGACCCGATACTAAATTTTATGCAATTGCAAAATTTATGCAATTGCAATGCTTTATTGCAGAAGTTGCAGAGAGTCTGATAAAAGTAACATCATCTCGTGGGAGACCATCTTTAGATAATATTACACAACCTCTTAAAAAATTTGCTCGGGTTCAAGGAAATCCTTCCAATGATGTAAAAAAGGATGGTTTTGATCATATGCCAAGTTACAATGAAAAAAGACAGAGGTGTTTGTCCTGTAAGTCAGGACTTTCATATATAAGTTGTAAAAAGTGTAATGCATGGCTTTGTTTTAAGAAAGAAAGAAACTGTTTTGAAGTTTTTCATTCATAATCTTATATGAATGTGCTAATATGTTTAGCTTATATGTACTATGTAGTATGTTTAATATAAATATTTTGATAAATAATTACCCGTTGTATCATATCTGATACAACTCAAAAAAGTGCCTAGTCATCACTTTTTTGTCTCAAATTAAACTGTTTTGGGTATTTAAGGGTTAAATGTAATAAAATAAATTCAAACTAAAATTTTTTTAAAAACAAATAATAGAACAAGATTTATTCAACTATCTGTTTTTTATCTAAAAATTATTTCACAATTGTTTTGTAAATATTTTTTACAACAATTAATTACTGCTTAATGTTTTCCACATAAACTATTTTAAAAGTTTTAAAAACTATTTTAAATTATAATCTAAAAGAAAAAAGTTTTGGCATAATGTAAATGGCTTGACATGTAGGTGAAATAAAATTTTCGTACATAAAATAAATATAAATTTCGTACATAAAATTCACTGGTTAAAATTTAAAAGTTCCTTAATTAGCTCTTTATCAGATATCAACATTTTTAAAAATGTATTCAAAAAGTTCAATTATTTAAAACATCCTTTATTTGTTCCAACGCCTGAGAGTGCTTTTTAAATGTACAACTTCAATTTGTCAACTTTACTTCCAATCAAAGAAACAATGAGTTTTACAGAGCTTAGAAATAAGTTTTTTAATTTTAATTTTTTAATTTCTAATTTAAAAATAAGCTTTTGCAACATGGAGTTAGAAACCGTTGACAACTTACAAAACTAAATTAGTTTATATATACTATTCAATAAAGGCTTCTTAGTTATGTTAGTTTATATATACTATTGGTTAAATTAGTTTATATCGGGTGATTCATAAATAATGATACCTTTTTGTATTGATTAATTTTAGCCTATGTAGTACAAAGTATGAACCGCACATGATCTTAAAAGATAGAGAATTTTGTGCGGAATAATGTACCATTCTCATTTTTTTTCTGCGCGCACACGCAGAAAAAAAATGAGAATGGTACATTATTCCGCACAAGTGAATCAGTAACAATGAAAGTGAATCAGTAACAATGAAAAGTCAAGACTGGCAAAATTTTGTAATTTCTAAGTATAAAAATGGTGGTGGTCCAACTAAAATTTTTCATGATTTGAGTGACACTCTTAGCTTACCAACAATCAAAAGATGGTGCAAAATGATTGCCAAAGATGGTACAATCAAACTTTCAAAACCTCCTGGTCGTCCTCGCACAGCTTGAACAAAAGCAACTATCCAAAAAATTAAAAACCGGCTAAAACGGAAGAAAAAGACAATTTCTACACGAAAATTGGCAAACGAACTCAATATTTCTCAACCAAGTGTTTATCGTGTTCTTAAAGATGATCTTCAGTTTCGAGCCTACAAAAAAGTTGTCCAACTACTATTATCCGATGACCACAAAGAAAAGAGAGTTAAATTTGCAAATTGGATTCGTAACAATTATCGAAAAGCTGATACGATGCGAATCCTTTTTTCTGACGAAAATTTTTTTGATATTGATGGTATTTATAACTCTCAAAATGACAGAATATGGGCTTCAAATCGTGTTGAAGCTGATAGCATCAGAGGAATCAAGCAGCGAAGAAAATTTCCTGAACGCTTTATGGTTTGGTTAGGAGTTTGTTCAAAAGGTGTATCACCATTAGTTATTTTTGAAAAGGGTACCGTTAACCATGAAAGGTATATTGAAGAAGTTTTATCAGTTGCCAAAAAATATGGCAATAAAGTATTTGGTGAAAACTGGATATTTCAGCAGGACGGTGCACAAGCACATACACACCGATTGACACAACAATGGTGTCAGGACAATTTTCCTGATTTTATTCCTAAAGAAGGTTGGCCTCCAAATAGCTCAGATTTGAACCCATTAGACTTTTATATCTGGGAGGAATTTAACCATGCTATTGATTGGAGTCGAGTAAGCTAAAAAAAACGTTAATCGATGAGTTAAAACGTGCAGTAAAGAGAACTAGATTTGAAATTGTCTTAGAAAGTTGTAATTCTTTTTCAATTCGATTAAATCATGTTTGTGAGAATGGTGGAAACTATTATCCAAAATAAAAAGACATTATCTTATAGAAAAAAATTTTCTCTATCTTTTGAATCTATTTTGAATGTTAGTAAGTTAATATCTTAGTAAAAAAAAACTGAAAAATAAATGGTATCATTATTTATGAATCACCCGATATATACTATTCAATAATGTCCTCTCAAAATGCGCTGCCACTGCTTTCATGGATTTTTTTTCCTATAAAAATTTTGTTGCAACTTAACAGCACCATTTTCATAACAATCTGATTCTGAATTATTATTTTTAACAATATTGAATGCTTGATCACTTTCATTATTTGATTTGCTG